TATGTGCGTAATTGTGTATGTGTTTGAGAGGGGGATGTTTCTAAACACGGGGAAAAGGGGTGGGTAGGGGTGGTAGGTTCCTCGTAAAATTTAGAGCGTCATTATACTTCGTTCTTATTTTTATTCAGTTTGTTTTGTTTTTGTAGTCCTGTTTGGTCTGTTATAAGAGTTAAGCTGCTTTTTTGTGGTTTGTTTGTTATGTTTACCAGTTTGCAAGTAAGTTTGGGTTCTCTGTTTAAAAATTGGCTTTGACTTCCATATTTTGGTTATGAGTTTTCTCCTCTTGGGAGGAAAAAGTAGAGAAAGAAGGGGTGAGGAAGACAGGGATGGCCCTGGGCTTTATGACTTTCCAGGGTGTATTTTTGATAGTGCGATTCAGATGTATGGTGTTTCTAAGAGAAGGATGTATGATCATATCATTACAACGGGGAAAAAAGGAGGGAAAGTGGCTAGAAAAGGAGAAAAGGAGGGTCTCTTGACCTCATATTCTATTCATTGCAGTCCTGAAAATCTCTGACGTATAAGGGAGCTCTCTGCTACAGTACTCTTGCACTTGATCTTTGTGTGGCGATTTCCTCATGAATATTTCAAGGACCCCCTTCGATTACGGACTTCGAATTCAAAGCCGCCCATTTTTCTTGTCTACGTACAGTTCAGTGGTGCATTTTCGTGTAAACATATCTTACGCAGCGAAATTCGTTTTGGGGGTCTTTTTTATTTTTTATGTTGTTGTTGGGTTGCCTTGTTGTTCTTGTTTGATTAGGGTTTTTGTTTTTTTCTTTTGTTTTATTTATTTATTTATGTATTCATTTTTTGGTGGTTGAGGGGACAGAAAGAGCACATCGATCAAGGGCTCTATATTAGTACTATATCATCAAACTTTCAAAGAGATCATTCGGTAATGATAAGTGTCAGTAAATAGAAAGAAGAGGAGGAGAATAAAGGGAGACAGACAGACACACAGACAGACACACAGACACACCGACACACAGACAGACAGACAGACAGACAGACAGACAGACAGACAGACA